TCCACCTCTGGGTGCGTTTGCAGGTAATGAGTTATTTAGAAATATAGTCCATTGACAGGTAAATAGGTCTCTTAAGGTGAAATTTAAAAAAGGACTGAATAAGTGTGAAACTAAATGATAAAAGTGATGAGCTCAGAGGAGTTCTCTTTCCACAGGGGTTTCCCTCTTGCTGAGCATTGCTCTGCCAATATGGGCCTGATTGTATAGTGGTTATTGATTACTTTGAACCAGTTTCCTTTAGTATCTTCACAAGAACCACTCATCCTGTTTCGGGATTGATTTACTCTTTGGTATCATACAACATCAGTTTCCATGACACATAACGTGTGCTGCTCCCGGGATCACAGTGTTTACACAAACAGCTGTTGTTTGTATCGAATGATATACTTGGTCTGACAGTGAAGGCTTTAAGACACATCCACACATATGTACACTTCTAGATAACTCAAATCTGCAGCTCAAATCTTATACATTTGGACGCATTTAACCCTAAAGTCTTGATTATTCACTCAAAATATATTGAAAAAGCAAATTCAAAACACTGATCATGTTAAGATGTTTCATTCTCTTTTTGCTTAGTTACACCAACTGACACTAGAGGGCTTTCCCCCCCCCCCGCCTCCCACTGATTACACTCTTTGTGTATTTGTGAGCATGTGTGTCCATGTTTGTGTGTCAGCGATAGTATTACCATAAGCTACAGGTGTAAACAGTGGTGGGTCTCTGTTGAGGTGTTTGCTTGGAGACTAAAAGGAAGCAAAACCCAGGTAGGAGGGCCCACACACAGTGGGATGCAGAGGAGCTCACTTATTCATAAAGACAGCGTGAGACAGTGGGAAGAAAATATAAACACACGTAAATACGCACTAACACAGCTGCAAAGTGATTCCTTACCCACATCTGGCCACATGGCAGTGTATAAGCATGTGTTGTCATTTTGAGCTGCTATGAAATGAAAGCTTGTCTTTTTTTCTTTTTTAGGACTTCTTTGGGCTCTTTGCTTCGTTCATGAACTGACCTTGGTCCAATATTGAAAAGAAGGATTTGTTATTAGTTTCCAATGTTTCTGAGCTGTAAGAGAGCCACATCAATTCAATCTCAGCTGTTGTCAGGCACACTGTTGCCTGGCAACTGGCCAAAGGTAGAACATTGGTGGGGATGATGATGAAGAGGACAAAGGTCTTCTCCTTGTTACTTTCTATCTCGTGTTTGTCAGCATCTTTTTTTGTTTGTTTGTTTGCCATTTTCAGAAACTTGTAATCTTTTCAGTATGTTGTCAGACCTTGCTTACACACTAGATGACAGATAATCAGATAAAAAAGAGCTTGTGGGTATTCCGTTACTGCAGGAATATGGAGGAAAGTGTCAATTCAGTGCCTTCACTTTCTCTTTTGTTCACTTGTAAAAATTGAATTAACATTATGGTAAGAATGGACCTTCCAGGGCATGACTCACATAGGGAGCCGTTTTCACATTTTGAAATCTCTTCAGGATATATAACCATTAATTTGATGAACAAGTGTTTGTGCCATTGTTATTACACTCAGTGATCAGCCCCTCTCTGTTATTCATAATCTCAGCATTTCTCCCCCATCTCTTTCAAACATAACCACAATCCTCTCCAACTTGTTTCATGCTCTACTTCCTCTCCCCTACACTTCCAAAGCCCAGATACCCTGAGTCTGATGGGCTTTGTAGAAAACAGCTCGGGGTAATCTTTTTTTTTTTTCAAATCTGAATCTAAGAGATATCAGTGAGGCAAAACAGTAAATGTATGTTTTCATCCATCTTCTACGGCACATGTACACCATATTTCCACCCTTTCTAACTGGTTAATCATCACCAATTTTAAGGTAATCAAAAAATACATTTCTAAATACATTTATTCTTCCTGGCATACCTCACATAATTTAATGTCATGGGTTTTTAGACATAAAAAAAATTATTTTGAGACTAGCTGAGCCTGAAGAACATCCTTTTTTAAGATGACACGTGAAAGATCATTTTCTTCATCCTTACATATTCCCTCATTGTTTTGTTCCTTTTCCATTAATCTTCTCTCATTCACTCTCTTTCTTCCTCGCCGTCTTTCTTTCCGCAGCCAACGGACTTTATGCTGTGGATGTCTGCTGCTGTTTGCGCTAAGGGCAGCACTTTGTCATGCTCCTCATAAATATGCAATACAACATCCAGGTAAGACAGAGGAAAGGATGGAGGGAGAGAATGAAATCTGAAACTAGGTAATGAGGAAATAGAAAGGTAATAGACGACGCAAATGAAGAAATAGAGGAGAGAGGCTTGGAGAGAGGAGGAAATGCTGGGATTTGAAGGTGGAGAGGTTAAGGAGGAGAGAGTAAACATTTGACTAGGACAATGCAATCTTAGGGAGGGAGAGGAAGCAGGAAAGGGAGCAGGACAAGGAGTGGACAGAAATCAAAGCCATTAACCTCAAGGCTTGGAGCTGCTGCTGGTCTGTGTGTGTATTCATGTGTGTTTGGAGGGAGATGTGGTCATATATTGAGGCCGGGCCAGTAATGTCTGTCAATCTAACCCCTCCCCACCAACCAAGATGGATGACAATAGGGATGGATGACCATGTACTCTGCTGGCTAGGGCATGCACACATAGGCCACTAGGATTCAGTTAGATGGGGCACAACAATAGATCTCAAAGGACACACAACAGTTTCAACACCACAGTACTCTGAATCTATACTTTTAGAGCTTATGGAAGGAACTTACATATATGATCTGAGGCAGTAACCCATTCACTTGTACTAGCTGCCAGTGAACATTATTTACACAAATTTGAGTTTACAGAATGTGTGCAATTGAAGCTAAAAAAGGCACCTTTGCAGTTAAAGTGCACTGCCCTTTAATTCTGGGCATTGCATTTGTGGAAACAATCCACCTGTGCTGAGTGGTCTATATGATAGCCCCACGATCTGATCTGCATTCTGACGATCCTCTTGATCATTATGCAAATCAGGGTCCTTTTCCAGTCAAGTAAATAAGGAAAAAAAAACAACGTTTCTCAGACAAAAGCAGATTGTCTAGCTGATGACTAAGAAAAGAACTATATTTATTGTTTTTTTTTCTTCCTGAGCATCAGAGTGAAATATTGCTTCTTGTGGAGGTCATAGTCTTTCTTCACTCTCATTCTTTATCCACATCAAATGCATTTGTGTAATGTTTTTCTTGCAGCTAATGATAGAATACCTTTATCTAATCTTCCTTGAAGCTTCTATCCTTGACTACGTTGAGAAATATCATGAGCTTAAGTAAAGACAGAAGAATAAAGTTGTTAGGGGGAATAGTAAAATAATCATTTAAATAAGTTGGATATGAACCACGTTGATTATAAGGTTTATCAATATATGCTCATGACTGTCTGTGAAAACAAGAGAATTCAGCAATGTCGTACAATTTTTGAATCATCATTTGATCCATTTTTGTATTAATGCAGCCTTATTCCTACAAGTGACACACTCTGGAAGAGGACTTAGATATCAGGTAATTGTGTCTGCCGTTCTACAAATATGTAACCAGTCAAACTTAAACTCGTTTTCCTCCCGCTCACCATCACAGAAAAATATTAGGCTTATAACCGATTTATCCGCAAAGAGAGCTTTCAGAAGAAGCTCCCTTTCTTCTGTCTTCCTCTCATCCATTGATAAGAAACTCCAAGTCCCTCCATCCGTCTCGTATTTCAGCATGTCAGAACTTGGAGTTATTAGTCTGCTAATTACCTCTCAGAAACCCTCATTTACCCCCAGAATCCAATCAGTCTCTGATTATAATGAGAAAATGATGATAGACTGAATTAAAGATAGAATATGGGACTGATTGGTCCACAAAGAGACTGGTGAGAGAAGAGAGAGCAAGAAGTAGAAGGAAGAAGAAAATATGGAATATGGGACAGAGAGCGTGACGGAAGATATGGTCGATGGTAAAACAAATAGAGCAGAGAGAGAGAAAAAAAAGGTTGAAAGCATTCAACATGTACTTGCAATATCCAGACAGGGTATGTAGTGAATGTAAGTGGAAAAAGAAACAAAAAGTCAATATAATAAAACTCTATATTTTTCGGCAAGTCTTCTGAGGATTTGGGACTGAATGAAAACAGATTGATTGTCGGTTGCTGTTATCTCATCACAGATTGTAATAAAACCAAGCGTGTTCACCCAAAGCTGTTAAAAGTGGCCATAGGCAAGGATTACCATATTCATTTGTACATATGTTCAAAAGAGATTCAGCGAAACACACACAAACTCTGATTTGCTGGTCTGAGGCTCGTAGCGCCCTTAATCACACAGACTCAGACCTTTGAGGTTGAGATTGCACATATAAAATGAAAGTTTCACCGGAAAATTCAGTCAATTATTTTGTAATTGTATTTGTGTGTCTGTAGCTACAATCATGGTAGCACGGCATGTTCCCACAACAGTTGCAGGAGGGGGAAGACTAAGGATTATAATAGCCGCTCAGAGGAAATGAATCAAGTTTTAATGACAGCGTCCGCATTAGGAAAGGCTAAGTTGGATGAAAGAAATTAAAGGTGCTGGTGGAGACAATGCTGTGTATAAAAAAGGCTGCTAATAAGAAGCAAATGTGAAATATATTGATGTCTGCAGTGCTAAATCATGTGATGCGCTTATGAGCGGTAAACATGTCAGCTCTTGCAATTGAGATGCAGTCTGCACATTGATCTCCTGCTCTCCCTCCAGTGAAGTCACCATGTTAGCAACAGCTAATAGCTCCAGCTCCATACCTTCTGTCCTCCATCTAACAGCCTCTCTCACCCGACTCCTGCCTCCTCATCTCAAGATAAGCCGATCTTCGGCACATCATGACCGTATTGAAAAAACAAAAAGCTGCTGCTGTGGAGGTGCAGCCAGAGGCAGGGCGGGCAGTTGGGCTGGGCTAAGGGGAGCTGGTCAGGAAGAGATGAGACAGCTCTGAGATAACAATGGGGAGGTGCGAGCACAGCGCAGGTTGTTTTCAGGGGATGTGTGGCAAGCCATAGTAGAGATGCTGGGCACTTCTCTTCTCAAGAAGCTTTGTGCTCTCATTGTCTTCCTGGCAAGGCAACCAGGGTGTCTGTGGAAAGAGTGATAAGAGCTAGAAAAGAAAAAAAATATCACTATTCCATTAAATAATATCCTCCGTCAACCGGCATGCTGTTGTGCGTGGGTCTGTGTAAGTCTCTTTGTGAGTGTAAGAGAAAGTATTAAGCCATCTTCACACTGCTGGTTTTCTTCACAAAGTTTGTCTCAATATTGTGTATATCCATATTTCCATTAGTGCATAAACAGGATGAGGTCTTGTGTGGATAATATGTTATGTGCTGGTAAAATGACATGAATGGCATGCTCTGTAGGATTACAGCCTACTAGCAATGTTCAGATAACACCAGGGTGTTCTTGCCTGTGGATGCTTTGTGTTGTTTCGTCTACTCGTACCGAAGAGCTCCAATTACAAACAGATCCTCCTGACAGATAGACTTATTATTTCCAGACCCTTACAATCAGTGTGATCCAGAGGGTAAATAGATGAGTGAATTCTAGATCAGTTGAAGCATGTGTGGGTAGTGGCAGCAATTGGTTCCATCAATGAGAGAAGCTCAACATGGCATCCCAAATCTAAGAAAACATGTGGCGATGTCTCGGCCTCAGCAGAGCCCGCAGCATTGTTAAGGACAATACTTCTGCCTTTCGACACTTGTTTTGCTTTTTTTCTATCTGGAAGGCAAAACACATTTGTACATAGAGTGCTGAAGTGCCGCATTCCAAATTCAGAAACCATTGCTTTGAACACGGCCATTTAGTTTTTGAAAAGAGAGATGGCAAATGTTGTATGCCGATGTGCAGTTATAAGGGCATTCTGAGTTTGACTCACAGCAGCTTACAAAAGGAAGTCAAGATCAACCAGAAAATAGACAGAACAAGTTGGTCAGACAGAAAGGCAAAAAATAATCTGCATCTTTTAACACAAATTCAAACTGACTGCTGTGACACAGGAAACAATGTTCCAAGCTCACTTTAGATCCAGGTCAACTTAATTGCATCCGTAAGCAAACCTGTTCTATGGCTACATGCAACTTACAATATTTAGAAAATTAAATATCCCGTCTACTAAAACCTGTTAAAAGAGAAAGAGGAAGAATGAAAATGATCGAACTAATCACTATGATCAGATATTTATATGTAGAAAACTGTGGGCATTATTCATTCCTTTCACTTAAGCTGTTGCACAGCCAAAGTTGTTTTTATTCGGCATGAGAGTAATGAGGCAAAATGGGAACTTTGCCACAAAAATGGGAAGACAATGTGAGAAACTGTTTTTACAGACATGTTTATTTAAATAATGGATATGGTTACTTGTCAGATAATGGCCAACTGTCTGACACAGTTTCTCCTCCATTCATCCTACACACACTGGGCTATATTCAGTAAATCCTGATTGTTTTTCCTGCTTAATACTCAGTTTGCCTGCTTTGCCCTAACCCTTCCTTCCACCTCTCTTAAAACCTCATAAGTCAAGAAAACAATTGTCATAGCTGAGAAAATAAATCCAAACAACACCTGTTCAGATGTCACTGGAGTGGTGAAGCACACACACACATGCACACACACTCCCACTTATCCCTTGGTAAAATGAATGACCTTTTAGTCGTGCTACGATGGAGCTGTCGCTGGAAAACCAAAGTGACGTGCAACAACATAGAACTCTGCAATGTGCTAATTGCTTTCATCACCTCAATTTGTCCACTCACTCCTATCACCAGATCTGTCAGTGTGGGCCAGTGGGACTACAAGGTTTCTTAGGTGCCTAAATGACAACAACGTGAAAGAACATGGACGGCCTCGGGAGAGGGAGAGAGACAAAGAGAGGCAGCGGGATAAAAGACATATGAACAAGAGAAGTAAAATAAGAAGAATCTCAGTTAATGAGAGGACCTGCCATGACAAGAGACAAAACCTGTGTGAGCTGCACAGTTGAGAAGCAGAAACGCAGCTCGGTCTCATTAAGAGGGGATTCACGAAGTTCACAAAAACACGAGTGCACAGTACAAGATGGGCCAGGACAGAATACTGTCAACCTTGTAGTCATATAGGACTGGGGATCCTATTCAGCGAAAGCTTTTTTAGACGCTGAACATGCAGCTCATTCATCAAATTGTGTGTCATCGGAAAACCTGTGAGCCCAGAGAAATATTAGTGCCTAACTTGTTGCGCATCAGAAAGTTCACTTTTGTTGTGCTGAAGAAGAGCTTTGAAAAAGGAGGAAACATAGTTTGAGGGCTTTATGGTGAGCATTAACATTAAATTAACAAATGTCAATTTAGTTTTTTCTTAATCACAGATTTTGAAAATGATATTTAACAGAATATCATCTTAAATGTAACAGAAAAGATGGAAAATGTAAGAAAAAAAAGCTTTAATTTAGCTGCTTTTTTTATATTCCCCCCGCCCTCCCCCCAAAAAATGTTTTGATCTGGATACGTTTCTTTCCAATTACATGACCACACACAACAGACAACTAATACGGCGTAATGCCTGTTCTTACCACCGATAACCACCGATTTTTGCTGCTGAGACTTTCCAGTAGCAGCCTAAGAGAAATGGTCTCTGATGCTTTCTGCTCATGAATTACTGAACAGGTCACCTGGAGAAAAAAAAACACAAACTGTGATATGAGAAGGCAGATGGTGGGAAGGGAAGAGGATGTCACCCAGTAAATAAGCCAGTGAAAGGATTTTTTTATGAATTCATCATGCCTTGTTCTGAAATGAAGCAACGGGTGAAGCTGATGGGGCAAACAAACATCACTCTGTGAGCAATATTATGAGTCATTACTAATAATGTGGGATAATTATAGCTCTATCCTACACTCCGCCCTGTCTATGTCCCTCCAGCACCCTTCTTTCTACCATTCACCCCTCTCCTTCTCCTTCATACATGCGGCAACCTGAATTAATAAATGGAAAATGAAAAAGCGGTTCTTCTGTGGGCGATGTCAACAGCTCAGGAGTCTGCCAGGTCTCTGCCGCCTGGCTGGCTCGACGGCGGCAGCGGCATCGCCCTGTTCATCCGGGGCCTGATTCATAATTAATGGAGGTTATAATTGCAAAGTGAGAGTATGAGAGACAGACAGCAAAGTGAAAGAGTGGGAGGGAGAGATGGGAGCAATAACGAAGACTGAAGAACACACACACACACACACATCGACGCGCAAGCGTGTGCACAGCTGACATTTTACACGGCTTTCATTTAGCCATCTCTCTATTTCTTATGTCATTAACATTTACACACAAATGCACACAAACATGCACACACCCCATCCACTGAATGGCTAATGAAATCACTGTCCTCTGCCGTCCCTTTGAAGGTCTCTGGAAAAATGAGCAAAGGGGTTGGACGCCGATTTAAAATACGCTCAACAAATCCTAAACTTCTCTACTTTCATCCTTTTGGATATTCTCTGTATTTTCAAAAACTGTGCTGACTATATGTGACTGCATTAAGGTAAAACATTGAAATGATGTTTCACTTAAAAAAAACAACCCTGAAATCAACTGTTTCATTAAAGCCATAAGTGAATGGCTAATCCATATAGAGTGACTAATACTGAAAGGGCTTATTGATTTTATTGCAAGCAATTAGTTGCAACTATGGAAACAGCCAGCCTCCCTTAGCTCCACAAGCAGGAAAGGTCATGAAATAAATATTCTTACTATATCTGCACCAGAGAATGTGACCCCATTCTTCTGAAGACGTGTTGTGGAAGGCTGCCATGCCAAGTGGTCATGCTGCGCGGTTGAATGCATGTGACAAGGATGGATGTTGTTATGTTCGTTTGCCATTATGTGGACAGAGATGGACCAATTAACTCTGTTTCTTAACCACATAAAAAACACAGGTAAATGTATGTTTTGATGACACCGCTAAGGGGCCTCTGTTTGAATTGAACTGGAAAAAAAGACTTGCCTTGACTGGAAGCTTGAGTATTTTTCTATGAGCCAACAAACATGTTTCTACAAAGTAAATCTCCTTTTCGAGGTCCACCCACTTTATTTGGACTTCCAGTGACTCACTCTATTATATGCATGTGTACTTACCAAATACCATCAGGGACAGACAACAAGGAAGTAACCTTCATCTTCCTCTGCCTCGCCAGCTTTACTCTCAATAAGAGCGTAGGAGGATTCTGTGAGCTATTGTGGCTAAAAAGACATAGGTCTTTGCTGTGGGTGCAAATTAAAGATATTCATTATTCATTTGCAACCTTGAGAGGAGATAATGGATGTGATGTAAATCGACAAGGTTAGAAGGTCCATCCAACACTGATTTGTGAGTATACCTTCACAACCATGTTGTGCCTGCAAGTTAGAAGCTCAAAAAAGCAGAGGTAGACCAACCTTGTTCTCACCATATACATGAGCGAGCCGCAGTTAGAGCACTGGATACCAAGAACAGGTAATCAGCAGGTACATATTTGGGTCAATATTTCCTCTTCTCTTCACTAGGCTCTTACCATGGATGACTGGATTTTAATTCAGAATCACCTGTCAACATGTCTCAGATTTTGAAACAAGATGCACTGACTTGCAAAAATTCTTATAGGTTTATTTATTATTTTTATGTTCTAATGACTTCTGACATATTTTTGCTTGAGAGGTTACTGCATTGCATGCATTACACTGAAGAAACTTGGAGGCTGGCACGTTTACAGACACAGCCCACTAACCTGCCCATTCAGCACTTCTATTTGTGGTGTAGGATACCGTGTATTCACAAGGTGCTGAAAGAATTTGGGCTCCGCTGCCACAGTGATTCAAATCTCGAGGCAACAGAAATGTATTTTCCTTCATGGTGACACAGGATTTCTTAAAAATGTTTTACATGACGTATCAACTGATCAAGCCCCAATGAAAAGGTGTACCTATTTTTTTTTTTTCCTGAAAGCAGACTGGAAAAAAAGGTCCAATAGCTAAAGTGCCTGTAATCATACAAGCACAAAGGTGCAGACATTCCAAAACGGGGATTCCTTTAAATAATTGCAAACTCCATTGCAAAGTTGAAGACCTGTCAGATAAGACAGCCACCATTGACCTTTAAGCACTGCTGATCCAGTGGACTTGTACTGTTATGAATATAACTGTAAGAATATGTGTTGAATCCGTTAAAGAATGTAAAAAAAGCAATATTTTGGACTTGAAAGAAAAATAAAACGTGACAAAATGTTCAGATACGAGGGCCGGTTGAGACATACAGTGTAATTTAAAATGCTGACTTCCAAAAAAAAGACAATGCTGCAATTGAGGTTTTCTTTGTATATTTCCTGTCATATCTGTTTTAGCCTAAAAGAGCAGATGTGCCTGAAAACGCATAAATCTTAACATTGACTCAAAGGTTTAAATGTCCACTTTCTTTTGAATCCTTTGTTCCTCTACCCTCCCCCCCCTAAATGTTGTAATAAATTCAACAACAAAAACAATTTTCTTCCACCTCACCAGTGGCGGCCGGCCCATAGGGGGCGCTGGGGCGCCGCCCCCCCTAGATGTGGAGGGGGAAAGTTATAATATATATATATTTATTTTTAAAGTATTATCAATGTCAGTTTTACTTAATAATATGTGGCTACATGTAATATGAATTATTAAAACAACAATTCCACCAACTGACTCTCATTCAAAAGTGCATTTCCACCCACAGAACGTATCGTTTCTCTTCTGGGGCGCTAGCCCCAGCGCCCCAGAAGTGCAGCGAAATAACCAATTGAAAAATGTTGCTAGGGAAAATTAATAAATATTTGGCCAATCAGCATCGCCGAAAATATTGGCTTTGGGGCGCCAGCTCCCGGCGCCCCAAAGCCATAGACGTGTAGCTAGTGGTCAGTCAGGCTGTGACGTAGAGATGACGTCGACGACGACAGTTGTAGAGCTGCTTTCACATAATTCAGTGAGATCTTTACTGAGATCTCCTTTCGTGAGAAGGACAATGGTGGAAAAAAATAAACGTAAAGGAGCTGGGACCTGACAAGTCCGAAATAAATGTAACGCAGCGAACCAATGAAAAAGCTAAGTCCTCCAGCCGGCCTTTTAACCGAAGCTGGTTCCAGCGTAAGTCCTGGCTGACTGCTGGTGGGACGCCAATGCACTGTTATGTTTTTCCCGCATCCCTTTAAAAGTGACCGGAGTGATTTGACGTGGACACAGTCTGGACAGACAGACTTAAAACACCTCTCTGAACAACTAAGAAACATGAAATATCACGAGTTCATATGGAAAACTGTGTTAAGCTAACTGTGTTAAGCTAACCACCTGTGTGCCTACTTTGTGTGTTTGGTGACAAATAGTAAAATTGAGTGTTGTATTTCATACTGTTCCTTTCCAAAATAATACCTAATGTAGCTTCAAATGGTTAACTGTATAAGTAAACTGCTGATTCTGATAAGGGAATTAAATCATTATTGTGGAATTGTACTAATTTTACGACTTTTAACTTGAATGCATGTACTGGGTTAGGCAGGGAAATCTATTGGCACACCAGCCCCACCAAGATTTTTTTTCACCAGCCGCCACTGCACCTCACATTAAAGTTTTTAAACCATACCATCAAACAAAAGCACCTTAGGTATGCAGAAGAAAGGGGGGCTGTGCAGTGGCATAAAAAAACAACTTTAAATAAAAAGTAAAAGTATTTCAGCAAGATTACATTTAAACTAAGACTTGACTCAGCTTTGAGAAACTTCAGCCTTCTTCTCTCCATCCAGTTCATGCTTTGAATTATATTAGGCTCAAGTAATGACATACACACACAATCGTTGAATGACTGATGGTGAGACAGATTGATTAATACATGCATTTGGGAAAGGAAGGTTGTAACATCCGTTTACTGTCAACAAGTGTATAAACTGAGCATCACATCCCTGTGCCATCGCAACTCATTCAGCTGAGTGCCCAGTAGAGAGTTGGAGAGCTGGTGGAGGGTACTTCTTTGTATTCTCCAGTGAACATCAGAGTGGTTATCTTTCTGTTCTCCGATCGTTCTTCCCTTCCCTTTATATCCGTCTCTCCCCTGGGGATATCTAGGGCAATCAAGAGGTGTTGATTGGTGTCTTTTTCACTTGCTCGATCAGTCTTTTCGATTCTTGTTAACTCAGATAGTTCTCACACGCTTTCTTGCTCTTCAGCTTACATCACCGGCCCTCATCAGTGCCGTTCCCTTTTGCAATCATTCTCACTGAGTGATCTTACTCTTCATCTCTCTGCCCTGGATCTCATTAACCCACATGTGTGGACTCTTGCTGCCTTAAAAGGGACCACTGAACAACACTGATTTATGCCACACTGAATTGTATTTCTTAATAGTGCTTGCTTGTTCTTCACATCCTCACTCTGCAGTCTTCATTCTTTGGAGACCTGTGTCATGAACCAAAAGTGGCAGATAAAAGAAACACTGCACCTCTTTTGGATAGAAAACCAAATCTCTTTTGGTTGTTATTGATCTGAAGAGTGTAAATGTGAGCTCAAGTACTGTACGTGTCAACTTAATTGTAGTCGCTGTGAATAATACCACAAGACTTAGTGGAAAAATGACTGTTTTAAATGAGTCAGCCTGATAATATAGCTGAATGTTGTAACCAATCTACAAAAACAGACT